AGTGGACCCGTGCAGGACTCTGCGTTGTAGGGCTCCACTGCTGAATAAATTAATTTTCGGTTCGTTACACAAAGAAGGAGGAAAATAACAAAAGGACGACAGCAGCAATAAGTTTTAAGAAGGATGCAAAAAGAGTTGTAACTGTCCTGTCTGAGAAAAGTGTGTAAAGTTTGTGGTGAGGGGTTTTACAGCCTTAAAACAAATATAATAATTGTAAAATATAAAGTTGACTACTCCACGGATTTCACCTATCGCAGGTTATTTTTAGAACGTAACTCCCGCGATAAACAAAGGACCACTGTGTCATGATATCGTATCATCAAAAGTGAACATCAGGAACTACATATACAATGCACATGGACACTTTTGGGACGTTTAAAGTTCACACTGGAGATCACATACAAATCGCATTTAATTAAAAATGTAAATGGCCTCGCAAAAAAATCCGATTTCACAAAACAATCCAAACATTGAGCATTAAGCCCTGCAGTCTGAACATAGCCTTAGTCTAAAACCTTGGAGAAAAAAAAAAGCACTATTGATTTAAACAGCACATTTTCAGGAGCCCGTGATCAATACAAGTGTTCACAGTCCTGTTTCGGAGTTTGATTTTCAGCCAAAAGGTGAGAGCGACAACCTGAAAAACTGTTGGCTAAAGTTAGATAGTTTGTAACTGTACATTTATGTGCACCAGACTTTGTTTAACAGCACAAATCAGCTCACATGTTGTAATTCTAACTAAGTCCACTCTTTCAGGTCAGATTGTGTTAAAATAAAAGAGTAAAATCTACCAGAGCTTCTGTCAGAGTAGTGCCTTTAGTTTAGGGTGACCAGATTTTCAAAACCAAAAACTGGGACACCCGTTGTTTGGGGAGTTGGGTAATAATAAAATTGTGAAACGAGTGCGTAATTAAGGAAAATTGTTGCACTCGGTACATTCATGACGAACATGTGTCAGTATAGTCACATTTTGTTTATGTTTTGGTCATTTTTTAGGTTGCTTTTCTGTATTTTATCTCAACAAATGACAATTTATGCTTCTTTTTACTGTCAGCAGGGATCAAATTGGTCAAAAACAGGGACACCTTGGATGTTTCTTGTATAAATTTGCTGGGACAGGGGACACAGGGCTCAAAACTGGGACTGTCGGGTGAATAGGGACGTCTGGTCACCCTACTTTAGATAAAATCCCACCCCCGAGGAATATTGATGACATCAGCTGCAAAGTGTCAACAGAGAAACAAAATCATATAATAGTCGGGAAGCCAAAGTCTCTAAAATGGGTTGAACCTGACATCGTCTACCATACTTTTTATTTGTGTTTTTTCTGTTAACTGTGACCGTATGGACCAATAATTGGAGGGTCTGCTCTTCCAGAAATATCGCAAAAAAAATTTTTGGGCCATTTTAGTGTATGTAACCTTTACTTTTTGACAAAAAATTTTGAAAAATGAAAAATTTCCTGAAATCCTCAGTGGGTTGGGTAAGCTGTCAATAAATGCATTCCAGATGCAAAGAACATGTGGTGATAACATTCAGTTAAAAAAATAATTCTTAAAACACATTTCTACATGATTTTGGCTCAATTTAATGCAAAAAAATAAGGCAAAAAAAAATAATAAATGGAGCACCGCTTCCTCTCCTGCGTAGCTGTCGTCAGACTCAGTATCAGTTCCAGTGAGAATTATTCCAGCCTTTCTGAATCCCGACAGGATGGTTTCAGTGTCACTGAAGTCCAGGATTTGTCGATTCATCCAGTGACTTCAGGAAAGTTTCATGGTTCATCCTCCCGGTGTCACAAGTTTCTTGCTCACTCCAAACTTTATTTCTGCTGCTCGATTATTTCACTACTTGCAGCTTGTAATCTGCAAAATATGATTTTCTCTTTGGGGGCATTTGTGTCTTCTCAGTTGTCTTAGTAAGTTTGTTTAAATTGGTACAGAAGTAATGGTGCGATCGACTGACATGATACAGACAGGACAGAGGTAGAGCGAAGTGACAGTGGTGCAGGAGGAACATGAGCAGCAGATACTGACACACAAGACTAGAGCCTCTCACGGCTTCAGTGTGAACATTTTAATATACAAGTCGCAGGAGCATCCAAACATGAAAAAAGTGCGACTTGTAGTCTGAAAAATACAGTATACTGATTCACATTAGTGCCAAATGCTCAACAGTTTTCCTTAATTACTCCCTCGTTTCACAGTTTTATTATTACCAACCACCACAAACCGGGGATGTTTCAGTTTTTTGTTTTGAAAATCTGGTCACCCTGCCCCAGCATGATGTCACTGCAAAGCAACCTTTCCCTGGAACTGTTTTAATCATTATTGTGCTTTTGAAATTTTAGTACAGCGACAACAAAGGGCAGTTGCAATCCCAATTTTAGCCCTCTTCCTTTTCAATTCATTTCTGGAAGTCTAATTTTGTTTTGCAGTTAGCCACAACCTTTGCTGTGATGTTTTTTTTTCCAAGGCTGCTTCCTAGAATATATTTTAGGTTAACTTGTGAGGCCTTTCAGAAGAGCTCGGAAAAATGCATCCTCTGTACAAGTTGCCAATGGCAGCATTTATTGGCGTCATGTTCTTTTTGTTTGTTTTCATATCTCGGGAGCAGATAAAATCTCCGTCCAGACGCCAGCGAGAGATTTCAAGTGGAGCTCAGAATACCAATGTTTTTAATGTCACCAAAACAGCAAGGTTATAGACGCACTGACAAGAGAGACTTATAATGTTGTTTCCTCGTCACAAACAGACCCGGAGTAGTGTTTTGTTTCTTTCAAACCCTGCGTATTTAGGTTGAGTTTTTCTCGCGAACTGAAAATGTTCCACCTTGTGATGTCATATGGTGATACAGGAAGTGCTGCATTGTGTTTTTAAAGGTCATGCACCAGTATTACGCAAAACTGACTCTTGTGAGCTTTAAGACATGTTAGAATGTTGTTACCTCCTCAAAAACATCCCCAAGGTTGTGTTTTGTTTCATTCGCATGTGTTTGAGTAATCCTTTATTTTTAGCCCAAAATGCTCTGTTCCAACTTGTGATGTCATGAAGAAATACCTTTGACGTTTAGTTCAGTAGAGATTGGCAATTCCAGGACTGAAATCATCCAAATGATTCTAATGAAAGTGTATGGAGTTTCAAAACACAGTGGAGCACTTCCTGTATTGCCACATGACGGCACAAGGTGGTTTTCTGTTTGAGAGACAAAACACAACTATTTTTGAAGTGTTTTTTGAGGTAACTTGACAATAAGTGGCCCCCGTCTTGACTACGTCCCTCCGAATCACATGATAAATCCTTGCAAAACTACGGTTGTCACATGTTACGAGTCTCCGTGGACCCGCCTGCTCCTCGCTTCTTCTCCGTGCACAGGATCTCTGCGCCCCCCTCCTCACTTTTTCAGCAGCCCTGCCTTGCCTAACCAGTTTTCTGTGGGAAACACTGGGGTGTACTGTGTAACTTTTCTGGGAAAGGCTCCACTACTTTGACTCCATGTTTGTTGTGTTGTTGTTTTTTCTTGAAATGATCTACAGTATGGCATTTAATTTAACTATTTTCATGGGGACAAGCAGGTTATATCACCAGAGCAAGTTACAGGTCAGATCTGTGGAGAAGTGGACCTGCCCAAAGTATGTTTTTGTAGTAGTTTTGAGAAATAAAAACACCTGTAATTAGACTTAGACTTGGACAAACTTTATTGTTCCACAAGGGAAATTATTTGGACACAGTGGGTCACACATCACAATATAATATAATAAAAAAGAGTAACTATCACGCAGGTAAATTGGACTCAAATGCAACACAAGTATACAGGCAACAAACTCTTAGTTAATAACGGAACGTGTCCTCTAACAGGTAATGTATAATGGTAACTCAGACTGAAAATATAACAGAGGAATGTATGATATAAAATGTGAACAGAAATATCCTCCAAGACTGGGAAATACACTAGTAAGAAATGAACTGGGAGTAAACTCAGGAACAGGGATAACAAACAGGGAAAAACACAGAATTGCAGAAGCTGCAAACAGATCAGATTCAGGGGTAATACAGGGGTTTCAGAAATTGGGGTTCAGGTTTTCAGGAGCTTGAGAGCACGTCTTTACAGGTGTCCAATCTGGCAACGACTGAGGGAGAAGAGGGAGTATATATAGACTGGGCCTGGGCTGATTACGGAATGAGAGGCAGCTGTAGGGAAAGGAGGGAGGTGACAAAAGGAGAACCGGAATGGGCTGACAAACGGAGCTGGACTGGGGAAAACAAACAAAAAGGCAGAACTGTGACAGTAACACCACCACCGTTAAAGGAGTATATCAAATGCAAAGATATTTCAGAAAGAACCACATGAGCCACCACCAGGGGTGACTTGGTCATACCCCACAGACGGACCACCTTTGGTCAGAATGTATTATCTGTCCAATGTGGAACCGTCTTCCACTAACACTGAAAGAATGACTTATATACGGCTCTTTAAAGCTCAAATGAAACACTGGTTATGGTCAAACCAAACATGTACTCATTTAGAGCTGCACTGTGATTTTAATTGATCTTCTATGGACATATATTTGCATATATTGAAAGTGTTGAAATGGACAGCAAAATAATGGGAACTGTGCAATGATGGGAAATGTGCAATAATGGGAACTGTGCAATGAGTGGAGTGTGCAATATTTTATTGTCTGGCCCCTGTGACCCCAGCCCTTTGAGACAACAGATGGAAATGAGTCTTAGGCTATAATCCGGTGTTTACATTCACGTTGTCATGTTTGTCCATTAACATGCTCTGTCCCAATCAAATAAATAAGAAATTCTAAGAGACTGGTGTCAAATAAGATATAGTTATGTAAATGTAAAGGTACAAGTAAAAATAAAATAGAAAAATAAGTAAGAGTAAGAGTCCATTTTGCGTAGTACAGAACCTTTAAATAAACCTGCTGAGAATTTGATGTTATGACTAACTGTGCCCAAAGCTGAAATTTGCTCTGTTTTCTGCTGCAGGTGAACATGACGTCAGACCTGGAGGGCAGTGACATGCTGGCGGAGAAGGCAGACCGGAGGGAGTTCATCGACCTGCTGACGAAGATGCTCACGATCGACGCCGACAAGAGAATCACGCCCATAGAAACGCTCAACCACCCTTTTGTCACCATGTCCCATCTGCTCGATTTCCCCCACAGCTCACAGTAAGAACCCGGCCAAGACTTTTACACGCTTTGGGTTTTACACGGTGCCATAACCAGAGTTGGGAAGGTTCCTTTTAAAATGTATTACATACCTCAAAATGTAATTTGTAACGTAATCCATTAAGTTACTTAAGGTGGGTAACATAATCTGAATACTTTGGATGAGTTGATATTGTCATGCTTTTTAAAACTACAGCGTGTCTCAGGTCACTACAGGACAGTACTGCAGATATAATAAGCCTATGCAGTTTGTTTTCACCAGTGCCAGTCGCTCTGGTTTGACATTTAAGTTGTAGCTGATTTTATATTTGTTATTTTTTTATACTGATATAATGCTTATATCCAATTTTGATTTCGCCGCTTTGCTTGTTTGTCTTCTCTGAGATTCACTCCTCACTATCGTGAACGCGAAAGTGGCCAATGAAAAGCTTCTAGGCCACGAAACTTTTCCACCATTTACAGACAAAACCACCAGCACACATCTCATATTCCACCAGTCATGTCCTTCAGTCCAAAAGAAGTTGAACCGCAAGAGCGGCACGTGGAGCTGTTTATGCAAATTAGCCATGCGCTTTTTAAGTTTCGTTTCTGTAAAACGTAAAGAAGTCTGCGCAAAGCTGTAAAAAAAAAAATAAATAAATAAATAAAATAAAATAATTAACACTATAATCTCATACGGGCTGATGTGGCTCTTGAGTCGTTATGCTATATATCTTGTAAAGTTTAATAATGTAAATTCTATTTATGCAGAAGATTTTAATTAATAATCTGTTGCAGTGTCACTTGTACAAAAGTGTTTGGAAACGTTGGGTTTGATCTGCAGTGGATTGTGGGAAACCTCATAGCTCCTTACTGCTGGATAGGAACATGGATCTGTTAAAATAAGGAACATCCTGAGCTTCTTCTGCTAAATGAGCTCATGGTTCTGGTTCTGATTTGGATAACAGAGTTAATGCAAAGATGAGCTTGTGTTGAGTTGTTTTATTTATGAATGAAACAAAGGAAATTTGTTTTATTTCTTTTATTTGACAGTTAAATTATTATTTATGTAATTAGGTTTTTTTTGTAATCTTAAATGTTCCTATATGAACTGCCGACCTCTTACACTTTCATTTTTAAAAAAAGGACCTTGTGGAATTTACATATTGTTTTTTGCAGTTTTCCGTTTTAGGGGGTTATTTTTTCCTGTACAGATATCGAGATATATATCGTATATCGAGATATAGCAAAATATATCGAGATATATTTTTTGATCCATATCGCCCAGCCCTAACCACGCCCATCACACGCCCGTCCCTCTCCTTCTTTAAATACAAAGTGATGTCTGAATTTCCAAGACACAAGTGCGTTTTTGCCCATGCACTGCTGGATCTGTTCTACTGGCTCCTCGACCTCGTCCATTGTGTGATTGATGCCACCAAGACATTTACATCGCTCTTATTGCATGTGTTCTGTTTGGGTTTCCGGCAATGAGTGGAATTAATTTGCCCAAAATGTGAAAACAGGAAAACACCTCCATGTAATCCATTTATTTCAACAAGTAACTGTTAATCCAATTACCACTCATTGAAACAGCAACTAGAGGTCCTAGAGTCCAAGTCCTAGTCCAAGATTAGTCTTGGTTTAGTCCTGGTTTAGACATCGTTCATTTCTGGTTTAGACCTGGTTCAGTTGTGGTTTAGACCTGGTTTAGACCTGGTTTAGACTTGGTATAGACATGGTTCAGACTTAGTTCAGTCCTGGTTCAGCTCTGATTCAGTTCAGGTTTAGCCCTGGTTTAGCCCTGGTTTAGACCTGGTTTAGTCCTGGTTTAGACCTGGTTTAGTCCTGGTTTAGACCTGGTTTAGACCTGGTTTAGACCTGGTTTAGACTTGGTATAGACATGGTTCAGACTTAGTTCAGTCCTGGTTCAGCTCTGATTCAGTTCAGGTTTAGCCCTGGTTTAGACCTGGTTTAGACCTGGTTTAGACCTGGTTTAGTCCTGGTTCAATCTGTATATGGCACAAAAGTCTGGCATCTTTGCTCGCTGATTGTTATTTGACAATCAGCAATAGTTGTTTTCTATTTCTAGTATTTTTTAGAGTATTTTAAACTGTTTTAGAGTATTTTAAAGTGCTGTAATAGTCATGTAATGTCTTACATTTTAGATGCAGTAATATTATATCGGAACGAAGTACTTTGAAATAACAGTAACAAGTCATAAATAACACATTACAGTTTTGAAGTAACTTGCCCAACAGTGATCTTAAAACTTATTTGACTGTGTTTGCTAATGTGTACATTGTGTCGTCATGGTAACCTCTGAAGATTCCACCATCGGCACACACGTAGAACACCCCCAGCAAAGTATCAAAACGCATGAACCTAACTCCCTCTCTCTTTCTCTCTACCTTCTCCTTTCTGCGCAGCGTCAAGTCGTGCTTCCAGAACATGGAGATCTGCAAACGCCGCGTGAACATGTACGACACAGTGAACCAGAGCAAGACGCCCTTTATCACCCACGTGGCCCCCACCACCTCCACCAACCTCACCATGACCTTCAACAACCAGCTCAACACTGTGCACAGCCAGGTACGCACACAGACACACAACACACACACAGACACACAACACACAACACACAGACACACAACACACAGACACACAACACACAGACACACAACACACACACAACACACAACACGCTCTTCAAAACTGTAGACTCTTCTCCTTATCCCAGAAAGTTTCCGCGGGTGCATCATGAGTATGAACTATGAAGTAAATCCTCCACAGAATCGGTGCAGGGTTGACTTGTTGGTGCACAAAATTTTACACAAATGAACAGTCTTTTTGTTATATTTAAGTGACAAAACATTTCTGAAATTCCCCGTTGATATAAATGGAATTGTTTGTGCATTAAAATGAATGCACAAACAACATCTTGTCTGGCCTATCGATCTCATGACAATAATCTCAAGTATGTATCAGTCGGTCAGATGGGGGCAACAGCCAGTTTTCCTTATTGATTTTTATTTTATTTTGCCATGAAAGATCCGAAAATTTAATTCATAAATGTTGAGCTTAATCGTTTCTATCAGTGACTACTAGACCCAAGATATCTGTATTATGATTTTTTCTTATTAGAAATCTGTATGTAAAATTTAACATGTATTCGACCAAAAAAAAAAAACATTCCAGTTGACAAATTGAATTTCTCCTTTGCCATTATTAGAAATCTGCATTTGAAAAATATTACATTTAGCTGATCTAAGTAATGTTGGCCTATAGGATGTTGTGATGTCGTCTGAAATACAGCAAAGGACCAAAAATTACTACAACGAGTAATAATAATGGATTAGTTTTACACAGACATGTCAGACTCAGGCCTGGGGGCCAAATTTAGCCCACAATACAATTATATTTGGCCTACAAGATCATGCCAAATATGTATTAGAGCTGGTCCGCAGGCTACAGATAGACTATAGAGCAAGGATCTCCAACATTTTTCCTCTGGTGGGCTACCTTTACTAAATAAAAATGCCAAAGAGCTACTTATTTTAACACTTGCAAGAAATGTAGTAAATATAAGAGCCACAGCCTTAGATTAGGGCAGTTAGATAGATAAAATATAAACCATTATTCATTTATTAGTGCACAAAACTGGGAATTAATATGGTAGATTTACAATGGTAATTAATCAAATTTGACTTACTCAGCACACTTGACGTATAATTCAGATATACTTTAGTGAGAGACTTGGAGTGGGATGGAGAGCTGCTGGTTGGAGGTTGGAGACCTCTGCTATAGAGACATTATTTATTTAAAATGTATTATTTTATATTCTGCTTGTTCTGGATTCAGTGTTTAAGCAAAACTATTATTAAACATTTATTCTAATAAGAAAAGGTTTAACATTACTTATCTCGAAAGAAGAGAAAACATGCAGATGTTGTTGCAATTTTTCAATACATATTTCGTTTGGCCCACGACTTAGTCCCAGTTTTTAATTTTGGCCTTTTGTGAATTAGAATTTGACGCTCCTGGTCTTATGTAGCGCTTTACCAGACGCTCAAGGACGCTTTACAGTTTGGTGCATTATTCATTCACTCCACACTCGGAGGTGGTAACATACTATTGAAGCCACAGCTGCACCGGGGCAGACTGACGCAAACCAGGCTGCCAATCTGCGGCATCGACCCCTCTGACCACCACCAACACTCAAGCACACACCACGTTCATACAATGTGGGTGAAGTGTCTTAGTCTCTTGCTTGAGAGACACAACGACAGTTTTTTACCACTTTTTACCAGCAGGCTCCCATCCAAGCACTAACCCCAGCCCTGCGTAGCTTCTGAGATCTGACGAGGCTTTGATGAAGAGGTTTTGGCCACATCTCTTATTTTTCCAATAGTTAATCAGAGACACGATGTATAGCTACAAGTTTCTCCATCACCAGAATTATGTTTGCCTATCCATGGGTTTTAGAATCTACAAAAATGAGGACAATTCAGACCTAAATATTATATCTGTGTAAGTGTAAAAAGTCCGCAGTGAATATGTGTTTAAGCATTGAAGAAGTCCTATTGTTTTCGGTTCTTTTTCATGCTTTAACCGTGTTACAGTGTGTGTTTTCCTGGCTTCCTCTGCACACTATTGTTCTAATGACACACATACGAGCGTGTGCAGGTCACTGGTGAGTCAGAGGAATGCACTGACATAATGAGCCAGCCTACGGGCCACGTACAGGACAAGGACAAACGCGTTTACTTAAAGTGCATTCTGTAACTTTTCTGGTGGAGGGTCTGTCGAACGCTTTTCTCCACGGAGATGTTTTGGCTTCGTCTGGAAGTTTTCACACACTTTTCTATTTTCATGGAGATCAAACTAGACCAAGTTACAGGTCAGATTAAGTTTACAGTCAGTTTACAGTTTATTTATTTCATATTTAATGTGATTTTTAGCCAAGTGTGATGAATGAATCAATTATTTATGGAACAAAAACATTCTGCACTGAAGCACTGTAAAACTTTATTTGTAACAGTGTTTTTATATGTGTTTATTGGAAAACAATCAGATAACACCAGTTTACACTTTTTTTCCCCCTGCTTTACCTAGAATGTTCCCCAATACATGCATCCCAAATTTCGGACTTCTGGTCATTGCTCAATGTATACTGGAAAGGATTTTCTGAAAAAATGAGCATCAAACCGCCATGTTTGATTTCCCAGTGGGATGCGTCTATTGTCAAAGCGTCTTTTGAACCATATCGCTTTTGTTTCTGGTTCTGATATTGTCATATTTTAGTTTTGGGTTTGGGACATCGTAATTGTGTGGTTGTTGGATCCTAACAGCGGAAAATGGGCTACGGAAGTTTGCAAACTCCATAAATGTAAAAGGGAATCAGATGTGTTTGACTGCAAACCTCCGTTCAAACTGTTTCCTTCCCAATGAAATTGAAAAATAATGAAGGGCAAAGGCGATGAGCAGTATTGATCCACAGGAAGAACTGGCTGCCTAAGAAATCATCCTGAGTTTACAGCGAACATTTTGTATGTGGAGCGACAACAAAGCAGAATCCCGTTTGTTAATCGAGAGGTGCAGAAGAGAAACAGGCCGAGCTGCACTTTCTTGTTCTTGTGGTTTTACAGCAACATCACGTCTCGGTCTCTTTGCAGCGGAAGGTGTTTCTTGGTGAACAGCTGGTGCCTTTCGCTTTGGCGTTGACTTTTTAAATTCATAACCAAGGTTGAGCGAGGGATCACGATTTTGCTTTGTTGTCGCTCCACATACAAAATGTTCGCTGCAAACTCGGGATGATTTAGGCAGTCAAAGGTTTCCTTTTTCGTGTTTCCTGTGGATCAATCCTGCCCAGCGCCTTTCACTATTTTTCAATTCTGTTGGGAAGGGAAACATGTAGGTTTACAGTCACACAGATCTTACTCCCTTTTGCAGTTATGTAGTTCGCAAACTTCCGAAGCCTGTTTTCCGCTGTTAGGATCCAACAACCACACAATTACGATGTCCAAATCCCAAAACTGAAATATGACAATATCAGAACCAGAAACAAAAGCGATATGGTTCAAAAGACTTAAAAAGATCGGCTTTGTCAATAGACGCATCCCACTGGGAAAACAAACATGGCGGTTTGATGCTCACTTTTTTGGAGGACCCTTCCCAGTATGCATTGCGCGATGACTGGAAATTCGGGATGCATGTATATGGCATTAAGCTTTTGGAAACAAGCAGATAACACCAGTTTAATTTTATTTTTTTTTTTTTACTGCTTTACCTAAGAATGTTCCCCAGTATGGCATTAAACTTTTCTACCTCCATGGAAACAAGGAGATAACACCAGTTTACACGTGTTTTTTTAACTGCTTTACCCAAGAATGTTCCCCAATATGGCATTAAACCTTTGGAAACAAGCAGATAACACCAGTTTACGCTCATTTTTTTTACTGCTTTACCGAGAATGTTCCCCAATATGGCATTAAAGTTTTCTACCTCCATGGAAACCAGCCTGATGGCAGCACCAGGCCTAGTTTTAGCTCAGGTCTGTGGAGATGTGACCTCTTTCTTTCTCAGTAATAATCCCTGTTTACTGTTCCATTTCGCCGGCCCGTTCATTGAATTGACAGGAAATATAAATTGATTACAGCAGTAACTTTAAACATCTGGCTCCAAGGGCAGGGCTGAAGTGACCGTTTCCTCCAAATGCAGGAAAACTCCGGAGTGCCAAAGCCCCGGAGGGATTCTGGGAAGTCGCTGTTTTAGCATTTCTCCGTCGGCATACGGTGTCACAATCATTTTCATTCAAAGTAAACCTGTGTTCCTTTCATATTTCCTGTTTTTCTGCTCAGTGGTTTTGAACGCAACAATTCAAAATATCCACTTACACATAAAAGTATAAAACTGCAGTATGGAAATGAAAATTTATTCAATATTCTCCCGTCTGGGTGAACCTCGGGAATGTGGAGTCACTTTAAACCAGCTGGAATTTCAACCTTAAACCCATTGTGTAACTTTTGGTCTGGATTGTTTCACAGTGGTCACGTTTTCATGAAGTTTTTTTTATTCCAAATTAATTGTTCAGAATTAAATAGTTTGGAATTTGAGTTTACATGGAAGACACGTTAAATCGGCTTTATTTAATTTCTGATTGGGTTCTGATTGGACAGAGACACAAACGTATTTATGTCTAAACCTTTGTCTGTATTCTAAAAACTCATCGGGCTTCGTGTTGTAGAAGTTTTCAGCTTGTCCAAGAAAGAGTGGAAGTAAAAGTCTGGAGACCAACTGGATGTCTTAAGCTGGAGAAGTTTATTTAGCGTCAATAATACGGACCCAGGGGACGTGAAAAGTCAACATAGCGAGATTTCAAAAGTGAACATAGTGTGATCTTTGAGTGTTCAAGCCCCTTGACTCTGCTTCTAAAAGAGGAGGTTTATAAATCAACTGTGGTGAGACTATAAAGGCCAGTAGGCACCGGTTAGACAGAAATATACCACAGGTTACATAATGGTTTGCCAAGGGAAGACCATGGTGTACAACACTTCACAAATGGATTAATTATTTATCATCAAGAGATCTGT